TTTCTCACACTCTGTTTCTTGGAAAATTACATTATAATGAACATTAATTAACAATTAATTAATGCATAATAACTTTACTTTAATATTATACAAAATCAGATCAAGAGAATATAAATTGAGAGATGCAAAATCTACCACGACCTCGAATTAATTATTGAAATTGGATTGACATAAACTCGAGCGTTTTTATCTCTCCCCATTATTCCCGACAATACAGACAAGATAAATGCTTGCTAAATTTCGTGTCGCGTTTATTAGGACTACGGAATATATCATTCTCCGACAGAAAATGAAAATGTATACCGCCCATAAAACAACGGCGTTTGATGCGCAAGTTTGTTCCACTGAGTGCAAAAATAAGGGTGTACCACGAGAGAGTGAGATAATGATAAACGTGAAAAGTTGGAGGCCAGCTGCTGCGAACAGACTTCTTTTGCAGCCATCTCGAGCCACTCGCGAGCTGCATTTTTTCATTTCCATGCCTCCCTTTCTACACCTTTATAATATCATCTTTGCACGTCTTGTGCATACATTTCATTTAAAAAACTGTTATGTTACTTCCTATTAATTTAAATAAAAAGCTAGATAAATAAATTTACTACAAATTATTTGTCGTAAAAATTTTGAATATTGTCACGCGCCATTTTGGTAAGATTTAATTATGGTTTAAAGATAAGTGGAGATAAGAACAAATATTAATTAATATTACACTACTTTCTGTTATCATAACTTGCGATTATTGATATATAATTATTCCAACCTTTTTACTAATACAGAATTTTTAATGTACAATTTTTTTATTGCTTATTTTATTTTTACAATACTTTTATTCTGTTCACAACATTAAAGTTTTCATATTTTCAAGCATTTGTACTTAAAATATAAAAAGTGGGTTAATATTGATTAATATTAACTTAATCCATTAACATACGCGAATTTCAAATATTCTACATAACAAAGTAATTTTCAAAAGTTCAGCGACGCTTTTTGCAGTGACGTTTTTTTTGATCGCGAGTCACTCTGCTCTCGTCCATCTTCGTCGGATAACTCTTTGTCTCGGCAATTGGCAACTTGGACGGATAATAATCATATGAATAAGATTTTTCCAATTGCAAGGAAAATTCGCCTTTGTCTGCGATGGACTTAAACAGTTTCGCTTGCATTTTTTTACCCGGTTGTCTCAGCTCGATAATCCGCGGGAGGCAAGGATCAAGACTTCCATTTCCCTTCTTGAAACTCTTTAGGCGAATCTTGTATCTCTGTCGCGACCATCTGTTACCTGTTACCGGGGGCTTGAGCCTCCTTCCATTTCTTTTTGTGACTTCTGGCAATGGTTTCATCGTCTTCTTACAATCAAACAAAAGAAATCCTTGCGTTTGCCGCACACCCACGTCAACAGGTGGCTCGCGTTTGACATCGATAATCCACATTTCCTTGATGCAAGGGCACTTACTCAATCGATACTTGAAACTCTTCATATTAGGATTGCAATCGCTGACATCTGACATGACGAATTTCTTTTCAGATTTCTCAACGTAACAACGACCGTCTTTGGTCAGTATTGGAAATCGCTGGATTTTTGATTCTGTTGTTTTGCTAACAGGCGTAGGAAGCACTTTCAAAGAAGTTGTGCATTTATCCTTGAAAGAAATCACGTGACGTGATATATATTTTTTTGATACTCTCTTCTGCAGCATCTTATTATCCGTTCCATTGCATTTATTTTTACTCGAGTTCTTCTCATTTGGTAAGGATGATGTAACGCCTTTTATCCGAGATTTCGGTGGTCCTTTCTTAGGAACGAATATCATTGGCGAGGCTTTAACCGTTGGGCCAGTCGTCTTCTTTGAGCAATGATTGCAATAAGACGGTGGATTTTCACTCCAGTGTTGATATCTTGGTGGCGGAGGATCAGGTTTTATGTGATATTCATATGAATCTAATGCAGGATGTTGATTTGCAGAATCTGTTGATCTTTTGCATTTTGTAGATGAAGTTTCTTTCGTATTCAATTTTTTTGATTGTAATTTTGTAAATGTAATTTTTTTAGAATACGTTACACTTTGATTTATCTTTTGTCTTGATTTATCTTTTGTCGTATCTTTTGACTTATCACCTTTGTAATAATCTTGTGATGAAAAACATGTAGCTTCTTTCCGTTTATTTGATGTATAAGAGCACGGTTTCGGTTTGCATTTGTGATAAAATTTTTTTTTGTTGCTGATTTCCCGCAAGTCCAACTCTTAGACGTTATTTGAATCGTTCGTTTCGATTTATTGGACTCGTGCTTCGAAGAATCGCATGCTTGCCAATTGTTGTATGGTTTGTTCGAGTAGATCGGAGAACTAGATTCAATCGAGTGATAATATTCTCGACGACCTAATAAATCGCTGCAAATTTCTTTATAACTTTTTGTTGATATTTGATAACCATCGCTGCGCCATTCATGTGGTTTCTCACAAGATCCTGCAGACTGTTGATGATCCTCGATGCAACCTCGATGTTGTTTCAAATTATCTTGTTCGCAACTAGATTGTGTACTTTTCCATTGTTTAAATTGTGTAATTATGTTAATATTATTTCGCTGAAGTAGCAAGTTATTATTTACAGAATTATTTCCTCCTGTACTAAAATTTCTAAATAAAATCATGCGGTTTGGAATAATGTGGAATGCCAATAATCTTTGTGAAATCTTCAAGGAGTCGTTTAACATGTACATTAATCGCGATTTTTCACATGACAAAAATGTTAAGACTCTAGGCAAGGTATTTTTTTCAAAAATATTGTCTGATTGAGACAAACAAGATTTTTCTTTGATAAAATTCTTCGATAGTATGTTCGGTTTCTTCTTAAATGAATGCATCACCGAAGTTGTCTTTGTGGATACCTGGATGAAAAGACGTATTATTTGTACAAAAAATATAAAATCTACAACGTGTCTGCAAATTTAAATTTGCTCTCACAGAAAATTTATTCGTCGGTAAACAAGCCAGATTTTTTAATAAATCGTAAATAAGATCGTTCATTGCAGAGAAATATCTCCGCATAAAATGTATGGGTTAAATTTTTATGGCTCTTTTAATATATTTTTTCGGTGTAAGTTAAGACTTTCGATGTGACTTTACCTTACGCCAGAAAGCTCCCAACATTTTTCGCTGAAAGCTTCAGTGTAGAATTCGTAGCTGGACTTTGATCTTGTTACTTTCGCCAATGCTTTTCCATCGTCAACTTCTCATACTTATTAAAGTTGAGGTAACATTTAAAAAATGTTAAAATATCAATAAAGCTATAATTGCATCAACCATTTGATCAAAATAAAAAAATTGTGCAAAAGTGATATATACATTTGCAATTAAAAAAAATTCATTTGAATTTCTAAAAACTTGGTTACCAGAAATTTTGACGCAACACGTATCAAACATGTGCGATTTGCCGAGTAACTGTTATGAACGAAACTGTTATAAACGAACTGTTATGAAGTACGCGACGAGAGAAACTTGATCGATATTGCATTCAGGAATAGATGCTTGTAATTGAAGTGAACCTTTAAATCTAAATTAAATTTTAAAAATATATAGCAAACGTTCACTCAACGGTTGCACAACCGTTGTGCTTTCTACTTAATATTCATATGTATCAATTACAATGTGCTTGCTCTAAATGTATATGTGATTTACAAAATTACGATATAATTGTCACAATTTATCTATTTGTCCCATCATTTCATCTCGACGCCAGAATTAATTCCCAATCCCTTTCGTAACTTCGTCATGCCATCCGCCAGCCGGAGATCATCCATTGAACATCGGTCCTAATTGCCACCAAAATTCGAAGAACTCTAGAATCGCAAGCGAGGTCGTGTGAATTCCATTCCAAACTTTCCATTCGCGACGCCACTACCGCGGTTTAGAATCCGCGGCTAAATTGCTTTAACGGCGCGTTTCAGGTTCATCTTCGATATGTGTCGTCGTACATACGCGGCGGCCCGATTCGATCGATCAGATTCATTACGAGTGGCTCAGTCTCTGGGATTATCTGATTTGAGAACTCGTATGAGAATACTGATTGGAGAATTCCGTTCCGGCAACTCGTATTGGCGACGAAATAACATCGTCATTAGTTTACATCCATGGTGGTCGCATCAATCTCGTATGTGGATTTTCGTTTCATATTCTATGTTTTATAATGTTATTACGTAAAAGATGTAATTTTCATTTAAATTACGTCGGTTGTAATTTTTAGCTGCATAAAAGAAGTAGAAGAAAAATATTGGACGAGTTTTTTTTTATAAAAAAAAGATAAAACAATCAATTCTTAGATCTTCAAAATACCTTAGGTCACGAATATTCTAAGTAAATTTTTATATATTGAAAATATATTTACGAATAACAAATTAACAATTTTTTACATCTACAGATTGCATCGCGTTACTTTTATGCAAATTGCGGTAAAAATTACAATGCAGTTGAAAAAGCATAATTTCTTGCAAAGATATAATACAAATTGAATAGAATTAATAAAATTAATAAAAGCTATTAATAAATTATATACAAAAAGAAACTTTATTTCAGAAACTTTTGACTGCCCATGCTATAATTATTAAGCTTCAGCGCCAGTATGTGCCAGCTGTATGTGCAGCTTCAATTTCTTAAAACTTTGATGATCCGATCCGGCCATTAGGAATTCGCAAATTGAATTTGGCATTAGGGTATCGCCAAGTTCCAGATTCGTGTTGCCGCGTATGCGGGATAATCGATCACACAATGCTGGTGGCTCCGCATCGAATCTGATTCATTAGGTGCAGCGCCCGGCGGCGAACTCATCCGATTTATCGGATGGCGCGAAAGCGTTGATTGGCGGACGCCGGATTGCGGACCGCAGAAATTGTGAGTGCTCTCGGCGAAGGGATAATGTCATCGCAATGGCCCGGCGGCACGAGAATGCGCGCCCGGTACCGTAATTTCATAGAGTGCATCCAGCGCGGCGAATTGACGCGCAATCAAATCGCCGATGCACAAAGAGGATGCACCCGCGGTAACAGAACGCCATGCAGAAGATTACGCGGAGTTTTTCTCCGCAAATTCTCCTACCTATCGTATATGCTTGTGCTTTGAAATTCAAACTAATACTCCGAATTCAAGATCTTTCCTTTACTTAGCAAAATAAGGAATATTTTTGATATACATTATTATTAGCCACCTTTTATACAATTTCTTTGGAAGTCTTTCAATTTTCATCGCAGATAAACAAATCGGAAAAATTGTTCTCATCATCAGAAACTAAACCCATGGAATTAAGCTTGAAATTAAATCTAAATCAATTTATATGTTTTTATAAAAATATTCCTTTGAGAATTTTAATAATTTTCATATTTAGAATTTTATATTTATTATTAACGAAGGAACGTGTAATTGTAGTTTTCCCGATCAAGCCACAGCATTGATTCATTCGCATGTCGTGTTTCACACTTGAACATCGTCTTAATGACCCGATATCGAGCGTATCGCAAATCTCGATCGACGTCAAGCGTTCATGCGTGAAAAGTATCGGCGGTTAGATAAACGTGCAACTTGTACCATTTGCTCATTTCCATTACCTATCTCTAAATAATTTAACAGAGTTGCCGCGTCTCTATTTGCGTGAGTGTGTATCATTTCGTCGTTTTACGTTTCCACAACTTGGAGAAAACTGTTTCCGATAATGTTCATCCAGTACGCGTATATCAAAACGAGGTCGCAGTTCGGTAAGCAATGCTTCTTTGGAGAGACCGATCCTATCGTTCAAGAGAATATCCTACCGGATCCGAAACTCATGCGAAATTACATCCACATGAAGTATTGCCACTGTGGCGTGCAGATGTCCAAGCAATTTGCTCTTCACGAAGTAAGAAAATCATTCTAAATCTATGCAAAATATTTGCAAAATTTTAGAGAAAAGTTTTAATCTATTTATTACTAATATTATTTATTTTAATTCTTAAGAGAGAATTATTATTAATCTTTATTTGTATAACTTTTTTTCTAATTAAGGAAATAAATTCTTATGTAATAGAAAAAATAAAAACTTCTTTTAAAAGAAGATAATATTAAAATTTTACAGATACAATGTTGTAAAATATTAAACATTTTTAAAAGGCAGATATTTGATTCTAAATATGAAATGATTATTTTGACGTTATATTAATATGATGCAACGTTGCATATCTTTGAAATGCATCGTCATCAACTGTACGAATGATTATTTGCAAATTAAACACCAGTTAAATGCTAATGAGTTTCTATATTCGGGACTTTATGTATCATAGGATTTAAGGAAAAGCTGGGATTATGAAAATAGCTCTGCTGAATCATCACCGAACTAATTCTACAGCAAGTCTAGCGTTCACAGCATTTAATTTCCAAGAATTAATAAGCGCGTGTCAGACGTATAAATATGCCGAGTCTTCCTAATATTTTTTACATTTCAAAGAATCAGAATTACGTCAGTTTAAATTAAATATTGTTTGCAATTCTAAAAAATATATAAAATTTATAATGAAAATCCTGACTTTTAATTCGGGAGGGAAATGAAACTTGAAATAAAACTCGTAGAAAGTTTAATTCAAACATAGTATCTTTTTATAGCGCATCTCGTATCAGTTTATATCGTAAATCATGGGCCATTTGTAATAAAAAAAATTGAATCTTACAGATTTAATTTCGCAAAAACAAGGGATCAATATAAGGGATCAATATTTAGGAGCATGCTTTTGACAATGTATACCGTAAACTTAGGTTTACGTTAAAGAACCTCATAAATTGTTTATGCCATCGATCCCGTAACGGACAAGAATTTGCGTGTCTGTGAAACAGATAAGCTTTATTATGATGAAAATATGGATTGACAGTGTAAAATACAACAAAAGCGAACGCGGGGAATTTTCTCTTACGTTTTCTTTTTAAGGAAAGGATTTTAACACCATTACGTGTTTCTCAAGGGTGCTTAAGTTTGGCTTTACATTTGCAAAAGGATGGTTAAAAATGGATAGGCGAGGTCGCTTTTATAACTTCATCCTTGCGCGAAGCTCTTGATATCTCTTTTTATTTTCACGTCAGATGCAGACCGCTAGGAAGGTAACAAAAGAGAGCGGGATGTTACACTTAGAGGGCGGTTGGCCTAAGGAGATAAACGTGAAAGACGAGGAAGCCGTGCTGAGATTTCGCCGACGCGTGGAGAAAGACGAGAATTGGGCAACGAAGATGAAGAACCTTACTAACGTAAGCCACTTTGAAATATATCGATTGTAAAAGATATTCTTCCTTCACTTAAATTATGTAAAAAAAAAAAATGATTTGTATTAAACATTCGCTTTGCTTATTGGATTTTTTTATCCTTAGAAGTTTTATATTCAATGTCGGACTTTTAAACAAAAACATAATTAAAATTAAACTATACAAACTGAAATAATATAAAATAAATATATATACACGATAATATATGTACAAGAAGAAAATATATAATCTTGATTAAAGTAACCGCATTATGAACTGAATTCTTAATGCAGTAAGAACCTAGTAAGATAAGAGGATTAGTTAATAATTAGGTTATCAACTCATTAACTTATTTGCTTAGCCTATGGAACATTGTATACTTCAAAATAACACAATCAATATCTACGAGAATTACTTCGATGATATGATTCCAACTACACTCGTTCTTCCTTATGGCGTAAGGTATGTTGCAGTTTTGGTATTATGAAAAGAAAACAGCAATTTTAGCAATTAAAAAAAACACACAATTATATACAAATGAAAATTGAAATGTATCGCCATTTAAAAATCTTTATACTTTCAAAGCTAAAATATCCGACGACAATAACTACTTACTTCCCATTCTTTATTTCATTCTTTTCTTAAAATTCTTTTCCAAGCTCAAGCTTTCCTCTCATCGCACATGCACATTAAACATGTTTTTTTTAATCGGTTAGCATGCATTAAACTGTAAATCCCATTATCTATCGACGATATCTAAGGAATATACTCAAAGTGTCGCTTCAACGTGCTCGACGCAAGATTCTATGGACGAGTTAAATCTCTCTCCGCAAATCGCGGTCACGTACGGAATTATCATACGACGCATATCTTCACCGGGACTAGTGCTGTTCGTACAACACGTCCTTCATAGACATAAAGGATAGGATTTCATAAGTCTGGAAACATGTTCCGCACATTAAATTAAAAAAAACGCGAATAATCAAACATACGAACAAAGTTTCTCCAATTAATATGTTTAAAATATTTTAGATCAAAAATCTATCTATAACGATAACTTATCGTTATTTTATTATTCTGGATTGGCGTGTATTTTACATGAAACTCGATAACTTATTTACGGGACAGAGGATCCATAAATCGATGCGATGTCCCGCTAGGCGATGACGCTGTCGTTGAGAAGCTCGCGGAGGAAACTCTCTTATCTCGTCGGCTTTTCGTCTTTCAATGCTTGTTTAACACGAATAGCGATTTTTCTCCATCTTTTTCTTTCCGCGTCCAAACACGTGTTGCGCCTCTCAGATGCCTCACGCGATTCGTTTTGCGTGTACGAATTGATCCACTTTCCTTTTATGTGTTTTACTCGATAAGTATTGCCTCTAAATATTGCCTCTAAATATTGCCGTTTCTGATACTAGCTGATTGAAAATGATGAATTTATAGTTTGACGCGTATAATATGAATATTTATTCTTAACATAAATATCTCTAAAAAAATTTAAAGTTTTTTTTCGAAAACAATAATAAATTAAATAAAATTATTTATGATGTAAGAGTTTGTAAAAAAACATTTTCCTTTTCGAATAAGAAAGTAACTATGAAGGAATAAAAGAAACAAGAAGTAGTCAAGTACAAGTTTACGTTTTAACAAGTTTACACAGCGGAACAGAACAAAAGTAAAGTTATTTACTTTGTTCTATTCTTACAATATTATAACAAAGACAATATTATCTCGCTTTTGTTTCCGACAAATCCTCGAAATAAAACAGGTCATTTTGGCCACGACAGAAAGCGCTCGAAGCGAAATAATGGAAGGTTACTTCGTTTGGAATGTTAATGGCATCCATACATTTCCGCGCATTCTAATGAAGAATCTACGGCTGTCGTTACAATTAATCGTTTCGCAAAGTTTATTAGTGGACAAGTGGATAAAGCGAAAAGTACGGTATTTGCAACGTGTAAAAGCAGCGGTGTTATCACATCATCGAGCGGATGATTTACGTGCCCAGGAATAAGAAAAAAAAATAAATAAAAAGAGTGAAACAAATTTCCACGGGTGCGATTTTGCGCGAATTTTTACGGGAGTTTTAATTTTCTTTTTTTCAGAACCTCGAACATGTATGCCGATCCACAGCCTATCGTAAGACCAATCAATCATCTGTCGTGGTCGCCCAGTGTACAGAATCGATTGGCCGCATCCTACACTTTTATGGAATTCGAGAAAAAACTATCTAACGTGAACCCTTTCTCTTATATATGGGACATCGGTATGATAATATTGTTCTTACATTATCATAGAACAACATGCATTTTATCATTATTTAATTATTATCATCCAAGAAAGCACAAATTTTTAGCGGTGTTTTGAAATTTATCTAAAAAGTTTTTTAAAAGATAATAATATTACGTTATTGCAGCACTCAAATATATAAAAATTTGATGATATGAGATAGACATTGAATCAGTTTTATATTTCAAGGGAAGCTTTTTTCATATGTATTATTTTAATATATTAATTTTTTTTAATATTATTTCGTATTGTCAGATATACATTTGCTGTATTCTGCGTTTGAAATATATTCTTGTCTAGTGTTTCTGAATTTTATTAAATTTTCCTATACTAATGCAACATCCCACGCGAAACAGATTTTTTTTAGAATGTCGAATCTGACACATTTTACAACGTATCGGAAGCATGTTTCATCATGTCGTCGTCAAACGCGACCTGTCACTCGCTCGTCCTGGTTCCGGTCGCGGAAATCGATTGGTCGTTTCAAAGTCCTTCATAATATTTGAAATGTGTCTCACTGACATGAATCTTTATATCTACGCCAGACTTTGGTGCGCATGCATGGTTGTTTATGCGGCGCGTTTGTTATTGACAGAAACATATTACATGACAAAAACAACCACCTATAAAACCGAACGTATTTTCAGTAACATGATTCTGCTAGGATAATATAGCAAAACATAAAATTTTTCATAACTGACATAACTTTTAAAGCAATCTCGCAAATAAATATAAAAAACAATCAAAAATAGAAATTTATTATTAGTAATAAGAAATAAAATATTTTCGAAAGTTTCATATTGAAAGCATAATATTTGTGTAAGCTCATTATAACAAAATTTTATCCAAATCGAATGTTATTAAAAATACTAAAATATTATAGAATTTATTTTATTATTTAACAATAAAACGCTAACGCGTTTCTAATAACATCAAGCAAATTTTATCGATCATATCTATAAAAAAAAGAACAAGTATTCTTTTCGATGAAAAAGATAGATGACTGAGCAAAAGAAAAAATTAATTCATTTAACTTTTTTATTTAACAATTTTTTCAAAAAAAGATATGCGATATGTTATTTTTTTTCATTGCAGAGAACCCAAACACGCCAGTAATATGCTTAAAATCATCGTCACCGTTAATAATCGTCGAGTTTAATCCGCGTGATCCGTCGATGCTGATTAGCGGACTGATGTCTGGCCAAGTGTGCAACTGGGACATCCGAATTGGGGATGGACCAGTGCAAATGTCCCATCGTCAGTTTAGCCACAGGTATCTATCTATCTCCGAATGGGAAGTTCCTCGGGACTTGCACCTAGCCGCCGAGATTATTGGCCAGAACTTGGATGTACTTGACTTTGATGTATGGCCTCCGGAATCGCAAATATCCTCCGAGAGAAACGCCGCAAAGCCGTGCAAACGGTAGTTTCTGATACCCGGATTAATATAGTCCATGGTAGATATGACATTTCGACGAGAACGTGTTAACATCGATTAGAAACATATGAACACTTCCGTAAGAAATTAGTCAGAGGATATTATGTTATTTTGTTCCCATTTATGCAATTAGAGTGTAATGTTATCGCTCAGAGATAATTACATATACATTTTCATATATTTTAATATATTTTTTTCTTTAAATAATAATTAAATAATAATTTAATTTTTTTCTTTCAATTTGCAAGACATTTTACTTATTAAATAAATAATCATAACTTCTTTAATAATATTGCACTTGTTAAATTTACCGTGTCGGAAAATATTAAAATTCTAATTATGCTCGTTAACTCTATTTCCTGCTGCGGCTGAGACAAAATAAGAAATAAACGGCAAAACAGCTGCGTACTTAATCCAAATCAAGAAATTGCGACCGTACTGATTTTAATGGGGGTTTTATCTCTACATTAATTTTCTAGAAGGTACGCCGATTAAGCGGTGCAAACTCCATGAAGAAATAGTGTTTTAAAGCGATCTCAGAGTCTCATAGACGATGAGAATTACAGATCGTTGTAATTCTTAAACGCGGTCGCAATTTCTGCCGTCGTCGTGGCAAAATGTTCGCAAAGAGCCTGCCGTTTCGCTGCCAAATTGTGATCTCCGTGACTCCCGCTTCTTTTCTCGTTTTCTCCAACGACGCGTGAAAGAAATCCGGCAAACCAGGCGCTCTGGATGCAATCCAAGACCAACACGGAGTTCTTCTCGGCGTCTATCGACGGCACAATCAAGTGGTGGGACATCAGGAAGCTGAGGCAACCGACCGACGAGCTGGTGATGGACCTAGACGATCCGCTTCGGGCGGACATCATTCATGCGATCGGTGTCACAAGACTGCAGTACGAGCCGACCACAGGACATAGATTTTTGGCGGGTATGGAAAATGGTATGGTGATCAACGTAAGACGCAAAGCCGCGAGTCCAACGGACAAAATAGCAGTGAGATTTAATTGTCACGTTGGCTTTGTCATCGCCATTGATCGAAATCCCTTCGCCGTAAAGAACTTTCTCACCGTGGGCGATTGGACCGTTAAGATCTGGACGGATGACATCAGAGAAAATAACTTACTCGCTATCCGGTTAGATGTAATTGATAAATGGTTTAATTTTATAAATTAAACTTATAAAATCCTTATTAATTTCTTCAATTATAAATTGGATTGTAGAATTTCTGATTTTTGATTTATTTTTGCTCGAGCATAAATTTGTTACGTATATTAAGATTATATTAAAGGTACGCTTTATTATCTGCATTGTATAATATTATATGCTATAAATTAGTAAGATACACAGAGTATAGAACAGAATCATAAATATTTAATGCGAAACAAAGCGAAGCAACTACTCACGTAAATAAAAAAATATATCTCATTAATCGACTAACATCTTGTTTGTATCAACACCGGAGTTTCCTATTGTCATTTCTTCTCGGTGATCTCGAAATTAATGTTGTTATCGTGTCGCAGACATGCATATGCTCGACAAGGAAGTAAAAGATGAAATTTTGCACAGTGAACAGAATGCTGATTTACGCGGAGGCTGCTGGAGCAGATCCAGATACTCGGTGTTCTTTACCATAAATGCGATGGGTCTGTTGAAGGTGTATGACATTCTAACCGGCCTGGGCTCGCCAGTGACCACGTTTCGTGTCTGCAACGAGTGTCTCACGGCCATCGCGCCTCACGAGAACGGTCAGCTCTTGGCAGTCGGTAGTCATGACGGCAACATATATCTGGTGGAATGCTCCGAAGGGCATGTAGTCAATACCAAAACCGATAAAGCGAATCTTATTGCTGTGAGTACTTCGAAAAATGTTGTGTGAAAAAGGGAACAACTACATACTTACATTTTAGAGAGAAAATAGACGATTTAAATTTAATTTAAATTTCCGCGTCACTCTGAAAGAGCAAACGTAGAAGTTTTGTCAATGGTTTACACTGTGAACCTGAACACAAATCTAGATTTTACAGATTGTTATCCTTTTCGAATTCGATCGTATATTCCAACTTTGATCTTACATCTCACTTTACGCTGATCGAAGATGAAAGGCAATATATTCTTTGCCGTAGTATCTTGAAAGGTGTAGTCATTTTGAGAAGACCGTCGACGCACGATTGAAGGAAATACGCTTGATGCAAGCCAGCGAGGATTTTGCAACGGACCACTCGGCATTCGTATCAAAGGAACACAAGAACACAGAAAACAATAAGGAGAGAAATAAGGACAGGACGCAAGTTAAAGAAAAGGACGAGGACTCCAAGAAAAAATTTCGAACAAGGAGATTGGAAAAAGACGACAAGTCATTCTTCGAAGAACTCGCGGAATCAGAAGCGGCATTTTTTCAAACAGTAAAAAAGGTAAAAAAGAACTTAAGTAGCTAAGAAGAAAGAAAGAAACACTTTCCGCAGGCACAAGATTTTCTCTCATGCTATTTAGAATGCGTCTCTTTGCGTTTTCCTTGAAGAATTAATGAGGGCTATTATAAATTAGCATTTTCATAATTTTTATAATGATAGTAGAATAACACGTTTTTTTACTCTTTTGCTTTAAGATTGTTTTATCACAACATTAACAAAAATACA